TGTGTGCCTAGCCTAACAGTTCTGTCTTCATTTAGTGAAACCTAAGTTCCTTATCTTTCATCTGTTCTTTTTTTTTTTTTTTATTGGTGTGTCATTTTGGCAAGAGCTTGCCTTCTGTCAGGGTGTCTATAGAGTTCTGTGATCTATTTCACAACCACGACAGCAGAGGTGTGGCTATACTACGCCTATGTCCTAATCTGACAATTACGTACAATGCATCAGTTACGAGCTCAGATGTGTTTTAACTTGTCAGCAGTGAATAAATCAAGTCATACATCAATTTTTCTTTAACCATAAACTTTTTGAATTAACTCTTTCTGTTTTGCCTGTGCAGTGATATGACTGTCAATAAAAGTCCTTTGTAAATATCACTGCCAAAGAGCATCCAATCACTTATTAGGTTTCATGCTCGCTTGTACATCCATGAGGTATTTACTTCTGCATTATTTTTCATTTTTGTTCTCACACATTCTACCTCGTTACTGCAAAACGAAATTCGGACGAATTTTCAGAAATTCGGATGTATCCGAATTCCAAATTACAGATATAACGAATGCAAACGAATCCGAATTCCGTTTCCGAAACGAATAAGAAACGAAAACAAAATGAACGTTCGAATGAACTACCGCTAACGAATTTCGTCCGAATCCGAATTGACTTTCACACCCGAATCCTGAAAAACGAAATAACACAAAATCCGAGTCAAAACGAAACTAAACTAAACAATTTTTTTTGCCAGTGCACATGTCTAGCGTGTTTATATTTTATTGTAGCATGCACTTACAGTTCTCCCACTCTACAAAGAGCACAACTAAATAATCTAAACCAGCAGTTCTAAACCTTTTTTTTTTTGCCACGGCATACCAAACATTTATTCCAGTTAGGGGTCTGGTATGAATTTTAATGGGGGGACTCCATGCAAGACCACAATCAGAATACCACCTTTCACATCAGGAGCCCCGCCCTTTCACATCAGAGTTCTCCCTCTCACACTAGGAGACTCTCTTGAAATCAGAAGCTCCTCTTCATATCAGAGTCCCCTTCTTTCACATCAGAGACCTGATGCTGTGTGAAAATGTTGATGCACCCCTGAGACAGCCAGAAGGCACCCTAGGGTGCCACTGCACCGTGGTTGGAAAGGGCTGACTTAAACTACCCTACCTACATCCCCCAACCAGCATAGATATGTCCCCCTAACCACTCCAAATAAATGGCAAAAAAATAGCAGGTCGGTTGTTTTTTCAAACAATATTCCCTTAACTACCTTAAAGTGGAACAATGGGCAAAATCAGAAATGGCATATATGTTGCAGACTGTAACTAGCATTAACATAGCAGTTTTTGTTTTTCTGAGTCCACCCTTTAACATTTTAATAGCTGGTGATTCTGCCAGTGTATGTGTTAATTTTTCAGCTTCCTTTAACAGACCAATATATCCACAAAAGTCTCAGAGGGTTGAGAAATACCATTTAACACCGAGAATGGTGCTTACAATGGTTAGCTTTCAATTTTTTTAGTTAAAACCTTTATCCAAAAAAGAAAAAACATTTTCTATAATTGCTAAAAAAAGGTGTGAGCTGGAGTTAGGCTTTAAATTGTTATTCACTTATGTAAAGTTCATCAATATCTACTAGTCCATCTAACACGTAGTGGTTAGCACTTTTACCTTGCAGCACTGGGTGTTCCCGGATCAAATCCCCGTCAGAACACTATCTGCAAGGAGTTTGTCTCCTGTCTAAATTGGCCCTGTATGTATGTGAAATAGGGACCATAGATTGTGCGCTCCTTGAAGGCAGGGTAGAAAAAGAAGGTAACCACATGAATTTATAACCAGCTTTTATAGCAGGGTGCACATGGGAAGGCTTACAACAATACAAAACACAAAAATTCCCCAGCACACCTGCCAGCTGGCCTGCAACAGAACAGATTACCCTGTCCAACAGTATGCGTTAAAAGTAGAGGTTTTAGTTGCACAAACCTTTGGCAAAAAATATGTAGAAGCCACACCGCCCTGCCAAGGCACCTCTGCAAAGTGTGGTCCTAACTCTATTTATATGAGTCTTCAAGTGGGAGCATATTAATGCAGTCGATAAATTAAATGCAGGTGTACCAGGAGGTAGCCTACTCCTCCTCACAAGGTGCAGGGACGCAAGTAAAACCTCTGCTTTTAACGCATACTGTTAGACAGGGTAAATTGTTTTGTTGCAAACTAGCTGGGGACTTTCTGTGTTTTGTATCCTTGAAGGCAGGGACTGATGTGAATGTGCAATTATGTAAATGTGCTGCGTAAATTGTCATTTCTATAGAAATACCTGTAATAAATAGATTAACACCACCCTCTCCACTAGTTGACAATGTTGCTGTTCAAGGGTGGCTATGTTGCTCCTCTGTAGATACAGTAGAGGGGTGAAGGTAGCCACCCTCAGACAGAAAGCGTGTTACTGGCTGGATCACCAGGTTGCAATAAATGGAACAAGCCTAAAAAAAGAAAACATATGCAGCCACCATGTCTAAGGCTTGGTGAGCAGCAATATATTAAAATTGTGTTTTTGGGTTTAGATATGCTTTAATTTTTCTGGAATTACTGTGCCCATTCCAGCTCTTTCAGCCTGTCTGCCCCAAGACTTGGTGTGCTCTGTGTGGCTATGATGCACCTAAATACAAAGTATATGTCCACTTTAAAAATTATTTTGCTGTTTTTTTCCTTTGCAAAAGGAACAAACTGTATAATTTTTTATGAGTGAAGATGAGTTAAGTGAGAGGATTTTATGATTGCTAAAAATAGCCTACTACTAGACATGTGCACTGCCAAAAAATTCGTTTTGTTTCGTTTTAAATTCGGATTTGTGTTATTTCGTTTTTCAGGATTCGGGTGTGAAAGTAAATTCGGATTCGGAATTCGGATTCGGACGAAATTCGGTAGCGTTAGTACGAACGTTCGTTTCGTTTTCTGTTCTTATTCGTTTCTTATTCGTTTCGTTCGTTCGTTTGCAGCAAAAGTGACATTTGAGGGGGAAAAAATATTTTTCTCCTCTGATGTCACTTTGCTCCAACGAACGAAACGAATAAGAACAGAAAACGAAACGAACGTTCGTACTAACGCTACCGAATTTCGGAAATGGAAATTCGGATTCGTTTGCATTCGTTATGTCTGTAATTCGGAATTCGGATACATCCGAATGTCCGAATTTCCGAAAATTCGTCCGAATTTCCGAAAATTCGTCCGAATTTCGATTCGGAACTAAACGAATCGCACATGTCTACCTACTACATTTTTTATAGCGTTATCTTCCATGGTTTTTTAAAACATATACAATCTTGGATTATTATGAATTATTAGGTCGTTAAATTGTATTTCTATATAATGAATTTGTTATATCCATCTAATTACAATGTGGCAAGTCTAATCTGGATTACCATAATTATCTATTGCAAACTTACTCTTTATAAAAGTAGGCTATGAATCATATATGTCAGCAATCCCGGTGTCATTTACATTAACTTTTATAACACACCGTGATTCTTAGTTATGGATGACTGGTTTATATGGGTATTTATTGACACAACTGATTTATGTAATAAAGCAGAGGGTAACCAGTGAATTTCCACTGATACTGACTCCAGTAAACTGGATATGCTTGCGTCCGTGTTTGTGTGTTATTCTTGATCAAACGTTATACATTTGTTAGCAACCAGAATGTGTATACAGGTAATCAATATCATATTTATATGCTTTTCATCTTTTTTTTTTAATTTTACGTAACGTTATGATAATTTGGAAATAAGCATAAAAGTGAAGCTTCAGGAGAATCTTTTTCATTGATCATTTGCTTATTCTTGTAAGAAGAACCCACATTCCCACACAACCAACTGATACTCATCTTTGTTGCAGTTCCCTGGTGCTCTGTAGCTCTACCAGAAGCCTCAGTAATGTTACGGTAGCCGAGAATCGTACGATTGTTGGCAGGTGTGTGGCATGTTCGTAAGATAAATGCCGCACGGGCCGGTGTGCACAAGCGCACACTGCCCATTCAGCATTGCGGTCATCGGAAGCCTTGCGATCTTTGCAAGTACGATCTGCCTGTCCAAAAGTCTTGCGATGTTTGTAAGGTGTGTGCCCAGCATAAGAATGAAAGCGTATGTAATCTCCTGCCAGCATCCACAAAACTCCTGCTCAGGCATAAGCACCCAATACCAATGTCCAAAAGCTTTCACATGAGCAAGAGGAATAAGTTATTCCTTTGTAAGCTTTAACACCATCTGACATAAGGGTTATAAAGGATTAGGCCTCAGCACAGAAAATAGCAATGAAGTGGGTGGGAGGTTCCTATTACAAGAGAATCTGTCACTTTGTTCTGAAAGTGCAAAGTGAGAGTGTCCTTGAAATGAAGGCTGGGTAAGAGAATGGTGTAGCTTTTCATTGCTTATCTACTATTGCAAATTCTAGTTTATTGGTTGTCTTTGGCTCTAGTACTTTTGAGTGACTGATCCAGAACAAGCATGCAGCTATTGAGGTCAAAACACCTGATTTGCATACTTGTTGCAGGTCAGTGACTATGAAAATGCTGAAGCCAAAGGATCAGCAGTATAACCAGGCAACTAGAATTTCCAGAGGGAATTTATCACTTATTTATTTATTTCTTTTTGTACATGTTGCTTTTGAAAAGAGTGAAAATGTATTATTTCCCTACTGTACAAAATCAGATTTGCCCATACATTTCCTCCCCCTTATAAAAAAAAAGTGTCTCCATTTAGTAAAAAGGACATGATGAACTTCATTGCATGACATAGATATGAACACAAGGTGATGTTCGGAAAAGTTCATTGGAATTGGTTTGCTGGATGACACAGGCACTTTGCTGCGCTTAGCCCTCTGTGATAGATTCACTGTGACATTTGAGAAGATTAAGTCTGTCTAAAAACCGGATTGGTTCTGAGTGGCGTCATGATGATCCATTCACATTCCTTTAGATAACAAAGATCACATTTCAAATCTCAGCTATGCTGCCATCATCCAGGTCAGTTGCGGACAGGATTTTAGGTCTGAGAATTTACCTCATCTCAGTGATTCTTGGTGGGTTCACAGTTCTTGAGATTACTAGCGAATCCAGAAATGTCATCTGTCCTAGCCTGTGCAAATGTTCTGCTGATCATGACATTTACTGCAATAAAATGGGCATTGAAGACCTTCCACCAGATCTACCTCCATCTGCAGTAACTTTAAACTTGGCAGTGAACCAAATACGGATCCTTCATTTTGATGCTTTCAAGGTTGTCCCTTCACTTCAAATGCTGTGGCTGAACCAGAACAACCTGACATTCTTATATCCTGGTGTTTTCATTGCACTCAACAATCTGAAAGAGTTAAATCTTAGCAAGAACCAAAGGCTGACCTACCTTCATGCCCACACCTTCAGAGGCCTCTCAAGCCTTGTCTCTTTGGATCTGTCTCACTGCAACATCTTTGAAATACATCCATTTGTGTTCACCCACTTGCCATCCTTGGAAGTTCTCAGTTTAGCATCCAATAAGATACATTATGTGCCGCAAGCCTTGAGAAAACTGCATAATGTCACCAGGTTGTCTATGGAAAACAATTTCATAGAAGCCATAGGGAAGAATTCCTTCAAAAATCAACAAGCCTTGCAAGCTCTTAATCTACGAAGGAACCAGATTTGGGCCATACAACATGAAGCCTTCAACCAGCTAAACAAATTGAGCGTGCTAAATTTAGGACATAACTCTCTATCTCATTTGCCTAATCAGCTTTTCAGTGGATTGGATGAGCTCAGGATTATGTACCTGGAAGCTAACAGGATTGTTAAAATCAACTGCTCCTTTAACAGGCTGGTTAACTTGAAAAAGTTACATCTCAATAACAATCTGATAACACACATTACCCGCAACGCTTTTTCCAATCTGAAACAACTCCAGTTTCTCCATCTCAACAAAAACAGCTTGACATCTGTTCCTAGCTACTTGTTTTTACAAATGCCCAATCTGAAAAGTGTCTTCCTTTCATTTAACCCCTGGAGCTGTGACTGCAGTATGGCTTGGATTGCCACCTGGATGGTGGATTATAAGGGAATAGTTCAAGGCCTCAACTGTGTCTTTGCCCTGTCATATAGAACAAACTCTGAGATTTTCACAGGAAAAGGAGTTACATGCTTCCACGAGGATATTACTGAGGAACAATGTGTAGAAAGCTCAACTGATTCAGCTTCTGCTTTAACTGTTATACCATATGTTATATTTACCATACTAATATGCTTTAGTGGTGGATTAATGTAAGGAGTGCTTTTATGAGACTTCCAGACAGGACAAAAATTACAACTTATATAATTATATACTATATAAAAAAGGAAAGGAAATCCTTCACTGAATTTATTCTACACCTGTGTACTGGTTAAGACATGAATACAGATGATAGCAGATCTGGGTGATAAATGCTTTTTAGAAGAACTGACAAATCTTTTCTCAAAGAGCAACCAATCTATCTTTGTATGACAATCTTTTTAGTATGCTATTTATGTATCACAACTGCATATATCTAGGATTTTTTTAATTTTGATTTTAGCAAGTCTAGACATATAGATAATGGCAACTGAATGCTGGGTTCCCATAATGAATAATGTTGGGTGACTACATTTTGAAGGTCTTATCATTGTCATGTGAAAATTACTGAAGCTTTCTTATGCTGTATCCTGTCTTACTCGATGTTTCAGCACATCTTGTACAAACAGGCAGATGACAAATGTCCCTATTGAATGCAATGTTATGTTCAGCATTTAAACCTGGATTTAATTAAATGTTATATTTCAGTAGTTCTAATTTAAGGTTATTCTGGTTCACTGGGAAAAAATAATCTAAGGGAAAAAGTAGAACATTTCTGTATGAAAGACATTAGTCTGATCATGCCCTAACCAATAATATCTATGTTAATTCAGAATGACGTCCTCTATTGATTCACTATAACTGAAGCTCAAGACCATCCTTTACATATTGCTATATCAGCGCACAACTAATAACAATCACTGTGACAAAGCGTATAGTTAAAAAAGTAGGATTATCATGTTAGTAAACGTGAAGCGGTTATACGTAATGTATACCATTTTGATTGTATTTGGTTTGAATGTTTAATAAATGTTCTAAGAAGGTTTTGTGCTGCTGGAGTTTTTTGTTTTTTTATTCCGTTGGCATGACTGAGACAAGAAGATAAGAATTCTAAAATTGGAACTGAGGATTAGTAAAAACAAAAGCTGCTAGACCTTTCTATAATAAACAGGTTGTTTTGTTCTGGCAGGTTCTCTGTTTATACTGGGTGTTGGACTTACTCAGCTAATGTGTTGGATCACCTTTTGGTGAAGAATCATGATATTGTTCAAGAATTGTGAAAGTTTATTTGTTACACAGCTGTGAAAATTTGTAAGGAAACTTTGGTTTGTTTTTCTTTGGTTAATTTACTGAAGGGAAATAGGCTGTTCACTTTGCAAGGACATTTTTACTTTGCACGGGAAGCTTACTGAATAAGGTGGTGTAGCTCTGCTGATTTCTATCACCCCAACATGCACAAGCAAAAACACTTTTTTGTTTCCTTGCATGCAGTTGGGTATTATTTGCAAAGTTGCATTTCACCACATTTATGAAGCTAAGGGAAAATCCCCTAGCAATGTGAATAGCCTATTTCCCTTTAGTGAATCAACCCCTTAGACTTTGGTTACTTATTTTAATTTTTTTTTGCTGAGTGATTATAGTGATGGGTGTTGCTTTATTGGGGCAGTTAGTCCACAGAGTCATTGCAAACTAGTCATAGTATAAATTAGAGGTAGCCAAACTTTGTCTCTCCAGCTGTTGTAGAACTGCAAGTCCTATAAGGCATTGCAAACCTCTGACAGCTGCAGTAATGACTTCCAGAGGCAGAGGCATAATAATGGGATTTGTAGTTTTGCCACAGCTGAAGGGCCAACATTTGTCTCCCCAATATACATGAAATTAGAGCTCTTATACTTTTCATATACCCATATGTTTATTAGGAGTGCACTACATTTATATTCTATCTAAGCTGCTCTGTGTCCCAGCGGGTATGAGAGAAAGTGTGACAGCCGGCTGAGTGCTGCGGGAGGAGGGCACTGTGAGCGGCCGGCGTCTCTCCTCCCACACCGCTCAGCCTCCTGTCCCAGTCCTGCAGAGCAGTCTATAGGTGGAGACAGCCACACTGTCACAGGAGGCTGAGCTCTCCTCCCTGCACTGCTCACTCAGCCTCCTGTGACAGCGGTCAGGAAGGAGCGCAAGTGATTCTGGCTGAAGAGTAAGGTGACAGAGTAAACTTTGCAACTTTAGTGCTTTAAATGTACACTTTAAACTGAAAAAGTAATATGCAGATATGGGGCATGGCCTTCTACCTGCTAAGTACTTTAGGTTCACATGCCGGCATTGTTGTACTGCACCAGTCTACCCAGTTGCTTTTTGATGATAACCTCCATCTGATGCTGAAATCCCTGCAGATTCCTTACTGACTCTCACATAGAGTAAAATGTCAGAAAAAATGTCAGTATTATGAAGTTTCTCCAACCAAAAGACATTAAAACCTGCTTTGGAAGACTGAATGTGATAAGTGAAGCAGTAAGCAAACAGAGAAGAAGTTACACAGAGATGCTGCAGGATGTCTAATCCTAGTAAGCATGTTAGATGGTCTGTGATATCTTGCTGCAGGAAATTACATCAAACTCATAAAAGGTAAACTCTTTACGGAAGGCTTTCCCCTTTTGCCTAAGTGTTCTTGAACAAAAATTCCTAACCTGGTCAGGACTGACGCCAGGTATAACAAAGGTGCAGGAAATTCCCCTGGCTGTGTTATGTTACTATGACCAGGTCACATTCACACAGTTAAAAGAAACCCGTAACATTTTAAGTCCACTGTTTCCACGCACCACTGATTTTTGTCATTGAAGTATTACACTATGTACAATTTCTCCAGAAAAATATTTTTAGTTTTCAGCCCTTTTGTACACTTTTTGGCATCGGTTCTGTGAAGAAATCACATGGAATGACTCAGAACACAATGCTGTATACAATGCAGATGAACTCTCCCCTAGCAAGAAATGTTTCACTTGTTTTGGCCGTAAGAAGAACTGAAGAAACAATGTGAAGCCGTCTATGAAAATCATGATTTAACCTCTGTGGAACTAAGTGTGTAAAACGGCCAGTTTTTTTGGGCCGTAGTGCTCTTTAAAACTGGTAATGATGAGAGTATGGGAACTCGCTGTCCATTGTTATTTCTTATGAGTTTGTGTTAACACATACAGGATTGCAACTTGTCCTGCAAATCTTTTTCACTCTGAAATCTTCATGTTTTAACTGAGCTGTTTACAAACAATCATAATCACTGACTGCAAAGCAGAATCTGAGAATATCATTCTTGGATCGTCCTGAGCATTTTTGCCTCCGCGGTTATTGCCTTCAAATGGTAGTGACTCTCGGGCCGGTTCACACCATTAACAGTGCGTTCCTGAGTGATCAGCCTCTGGAACTCACTGTATCGCATTCCAGCCAGCTTTCTACGTTCTGGGGCAGGAGGGGGCGTGGGGGTGCATTGAGGTCAATGGCACCACATCCACGCCCCCGCCCGCAGTGCGATCACCCACACCAGAACGTGTGGCACATCAGTACCTGCGTTCCGGTTCAGTGCGATCTGCAAAAATAGTGTTAAGCAAAGCCCAAAAATTTAAAATCAGATGTGTTTAATTAAATCTTACATTGCAGATGTTTTGTGATGTAATGGTTTATCACAGTGTTGGATACCAGGGGACCTGTGTTGAACCCGTGTTGAAAAAGAGGACCTGTCACCCTTTCAGTACCAGCCATTATTTGTAAAACCATTATCAATCCTCTCCTGTAGATGCCTCATTTAAAAAAAAAATAGTTTGCTGTCAAAAATACATTTTTAACAAAGGACCCTTTGGAAGAGTAGAAAGTGGAGCCACTTTCTACTCTTCCAAAGGGTCCTTTGTTAAAAATGTATTTATGACAGCAAACAAAATTTTTGAAAAATGAGGCATCTACAAGAGAGGATTGATAATGGTTTTACAAATAATGGCTGGTACTGAAAGGGTGACAGGTCCTCTTTTTTTGGTGCTAATCAATTTAATCAATTTAACACATTTAATTTAATCAATAACACAATAAAGATCACTATACAACACCTGTATAATTTATATCACTACATATAAAATAAGGTTATAGATTTCACTATAATTTTTAGGACAGTCATACTGTATGACCCTCTTGCAGCAAGATAACTTGGTTAGTTTACATTGTTCACCTAGTGTCCTGATCATAGTTGTATTAGACATTAGTGACTACATTTTGCAAGCACACTATAGAGGGAAGGAGGTGCAGTAGATGGTGAAGAGAGTCAGGAGGCTTACTACAGAAACAAAAAAACATCCCTCCATTCTCATTGTAACACATCAGACAAGGTTGTAGGTTTTACAAAAAAAAGACATCCTCATTCTGGTGTGCATAGGGCAGTGGGGTTCAACCTTTTGCATATAAAGGGCATTCAGTGTGGCCCCTGACATCAATAAAAGAGCACATATAACATTCAATGAATGTACTACTACAGAAAACTGTTAGACTGCAGACATACTGTACAGCGGGTGATGGTCAGAGACTGCAGACATACTGTACAGCGGGTGATGGTCAGAGACTGCAGACATGCTGCAGGAGATGGTGACAGACTGGAGACTGTTTAATATCACTAATATGACAGCCCCTTTACAAATGGGTGCTGCGGCTGCCACATTTTTGTTCCTTACAGCCCCCTTATAAGAAAAAAGGGATGGACAGCACAGAAAAAAAGTAACACAAACCACAAAATTATGGAAAGGAGTGCCAAACCAACAACAGATGAAAGAGTCCTATATGATTTTAATTATTGGTAAATAGGTCATAAAAAACAACCAACACATTTTGGGGGGCAAATCCACTCCCCCTTCATCATGTTTTGGTTCCTCATATGTTGGTTTAGGTCCTAGTTTTGGTTTTGGCCATTCATACATCCACTGCTGCATACTGGATAAAATTCTGTGATCATAAAGAAATAAAGAAAAAGAAATGTTAGTGTTGCCAAAGCTGTGAATACATTTGCTAAAACTTTATTGCTGTGTCCTGACCTCAGTTAAGCTGCAACTTGTCTTTAACAGAGAATATTAACGTACTGTGGATTGGGCTCTGCTAGGCTCTTGTCCAACAAGCCATCACTTTTACGGCTTCCACATTTTTCATTTACAAGCAGTTCTGATTGTTTTTGCGATAAACTTAAAGTGATAATAAGTGATATTGTGGCGAACATTTTAGAAGCATAATAGGTTTTTAAATTTGCAAATGAAAATTACCAGCTTTCCAAAACAACCCTGATGATTCCCATAGACACACAAGGTTTAGGAGTGTGTCTATGGGAATGTTTGACCATTCTTCCAGAAGCGCACTTGTGAGGTCAGGTACTGATGTTTGACGAGAAGCCCTGGCTCGCAGTCTCTGCTCTAATTCATCCCAAAGGTGTTCTATCGGGTTGAGGTCAGGACTCATTCCATGAAGCTCTCTACACACTGTTGTTTTGCCAGTCTGAAGACCACATGAAGTTTGGAGGTCTGTAGCTATTGACTCTGTAGACAGTTGGCGACTTCTGCGCACTGTGCGCTTCACCATGCGCTGACCCCGCTCTGTCATTTTACGTGGCCCACCACTTCGTGGCTGAGTTGCTGTTGTTCCCAGTTGCTTCCACTTTGTTATAATCCCACAAAGAGTTGACCGTGGTATATTTAGTAGCAAGGAAATTTCACGGATGGACTTATTGCACATGTGGCAACCTATCACAGTACCGTGCTTTAATTCACTGAGCTCCAGAGAGCGACCCATTTTTTCACAAATATTTGTAGAAGCAGTCTGCATGCCTAGATGCTTGATTTTTATACACCTGTGGCCATGGAGGTGATTGGAACACCTGAATCCAATGATTTGGGGGGTTGTCCCAATACTTTTGGCAATATAGTGTATATATTTATTTTTAGAATAATGTAACAAAGTACTCTATTATAAAAGTTACATCCATAACACCAAGGATTTACATCTTCTGCCTATTTAAATATGCATACCAAGAGGAACCTCTGGAGTACAGCTCCTTGCTTCTCTTGTCTGAAGATTTACTATGAGTTAAATTCAGAACATAGAATGAAAAAGAGCAGAAGTTTCTGCCAGAAAGATGTGTGCCAAGACTCTCCGCTCCAATCCCACAGTCTAGTATGCTGACATCTCCCTAAGGAATAAACAGAGGATATAAGAAAGAAAGCAGACCTTTTAAGCAATCACTGCAGTACAAGGAGAGATAAAGCCATGTTGGACTCCGGAGGACATATTTTATTGTGGTAAGCCACTTTAAATCTGTTTAAAGAATCTTTTCACAACATTTTGTTTTTTTTTATACATTTCTTAGATTCATTCCTCCTGTTTGTGCTATCAAAATTATCATGTTATGTCAGACTATAATAAAACAATTATAATGTTTGTAGGTAGAGTAAATGTAGGCTTTCTAATGAAAGATGTTTACATGAGGAAACCTTTGTGCAGTATTTGGAGACTTCTTTATGCCCTGTAATGATAAAGAACTTGTTACAGTATGCAAAGCACTATGTAAGACTGTTACATTTACATTATATGATCATTATATGATCTTTAGTATGCCACTTTATTATTATTATTATTATTATACAGGATTTATATAGCGCCAATAGTTTGCACAGCGCTTTACAATATAAGGAAGACATTACAGTCACAATACAATTCAAGACAAGATGGTAAGGAGAGTTTATAATTGCAAAGGTTTAGATGGTTAGATGTGTAAAGCAAATTTTAATTACACCCTGCCTGGGTTTATTCAGTAAGGTGATGTAAAATGTAATGTAGAGATCACAGTGTAATAACCCATAGCAACCGAACAGATGTCCAGTTAATAAAATAACATCACCGAAATACTTTTTTTTTGTGGAAAGCTGCACATTGCATTTATCATTTAGCTTCCATGTGTAAGCTTTTATATATTTGTGTTTGTTTAGATTGTTAATTGCCTCTGTTATCGTTGTAAATATATTTTCATGCATTTTTAAATTAAATGTATTTCTATAATTTACTGTTTTGCATGTTATTAAATAAATTAGATAAATATATAGTATGCAACATCTAAAATGATATAGTTTTTACTGCCTAATAATAAAATGGGAGTTTTTAGCATTTAAGCTTGAACATAACATGTATTTATATCTGTCTTTGTTTTTTTCCTGAATATCTATTTGCAAGTTTTCCAGCCCTCAAGTATGTATGGAAGTGAGCTTTTATGTTTTATAATTAATGGATTAAAGAAGAACTATAGGTTTGAGAAAAATCAACCCTTGCAGTGGGGCCACCCCCACACTGCAAGATTAACTGCTCGTTTGGTCTAGGGGTTCAAATAAAGAAAATATACCTGATTCTCGATCTGGCTTCTAGACCAGTCCCTGCAGTCTATTCTTCCCTGGGCTCCATCGGTCTAAGGCACGGTGATGTTATCAGGTCAAATACAGGTCTACTGGACGTGAGGACACCAAGGGACATAGCCAGAGCGGAGGGGGAGAGAGGTGACTGGGCACTGCCACAGCACCAAGGATTGGGTGAGCATTTCTTTATTTTTGCCTCTAGAGATAATTGAGCAGTGATCACTTGAAGTTTGGGGGGTAGCCCCACTGCAAGGGATAATTTTTCTAAAACCTGGAGCCCTTTTTAAAGCTCTTTGGGTTGTTTGCAGTTGGGAACTTTTAGTTCTCATGACCTCCTGCCTGTAAGCAGCCTGTGCTATAACCCAAATGTAATCACAGGATTTATTGAATTCATCTTCTCTTTATTCAGCTTGATACTCTATAAACATATTGGGGGGAACTTATAAAAACTGGAGCAGGCAGAATCTGGAGCAGTTGCCTATGGAAACCAATCAGCGTCTCTCTTCAGTTTGTTCAGTTAAGCTTTGAAAATGAAAGGTGGATGCGGATTGATTGCCATTCACAGCTGCTCCAGATTTTGTCTTCTCCCGTTTTAATAAATTCCCCTCGTATACACTGAACTGTGTAAACATATCTCATATGCATTTAATTCAGCTTGTGTATATTCACATGAATGTTTATGTTACAGAAAGTAATGAACTCTCGCAGGCCAAAAGCTGGATCTCTTCCGCCATCCACAGAGGAAAATATTCTATAGGAACCTTTCTATTTTGGTCATCACACGGGAAAAATTAAAGATTATGTCTGAAAACCTAACCAGCAATCTGACTACTACAACATCATGTACCAATAACACAATTGAAGGCTATCAGATGGATTTGCTTCCAGTATTTTACTCCTTCATTTGTATTTTTGGCTTCATAGGTAACAGTATAGTGATTACAGTCCTGTGTCTCCAAAGGGATATGAAAACCGTGGCTAACATCTATATTGTAAACCTAGCCATAGCTGACCTACTGTTCCTAGTAATGCTGCCTTTCTGGGCCACATATTATGCATTTGGATTAAATTGGATGTTTGGCAAGGTGATGTGCAAAATTTCCAGTTCCCTATTAACTTTGAATTTATTTGCAAGCATCTTCTTCATCACTTGTATGAGCATAGACCGATATATGGCCATTGTGTACCCACTGCGTTCACAAAGGAGAACATTGACCCAGGCCACCATTGTGGCACTTTCTGTCTGGGCTTTGGCCATCATGGCCACTCTTCCTACATTCCATTTTCGGAACACATACTACCTTGAGAACCTTGATGTCCATGCGTGCATAATGGACTTTCCTGCAAATAACTATTCAAGCTGGTGTGTGGCCATGTCCTTGTTAAAGATTACTTTAGGGTTTTGTGTGCCAGTAACAGTCATCATCACCTGCTACTTAAAGATTGGATTACATTTCAAAAAATCTAAAGGGCCTATGCTCAACCAGCAAAGCAGAGATCGGGCCCTCAAAATTGTCACGGCCATTGTTGTCTGTTTCTTGGTTTGTTGGCTCCCGTTCCATATATTGACCTTCCTGGATGTCCTAACAAGAATGGAGGTTATTAAGGACTGCAAGACAGAAACGCTTGTTGAAGCAGCTTTGCCGTTAAGTATATGCCTTGCCTTTTCAAACAGTTGCATTAATCCTTTGCTGTATTGCTTTGTTGGGAACCAATTTCGAGAGAACTTTAGACATGTGCTCAGCAGTATCAAAGTTTTACAAAGCAAAAACAGTCAACACAACTCTTCCAGAAAGGGAAGTGACATAAGAGAGATGAAACCAAATGGACCAAGGGACAATCCACCAGTATGACCAGATGATGTGTTAGTAGGTCTTAATTATACTTACTGTGAAGTATTGCCATGTAAACAGGTACATTGTGTTAGCCATATTGGCATTATTCTTGAATGACTGAATGTAAATGAGCACAAGCATGCTAAAATGATAAACTCATGAGTTTGGGTGGAAAGGAAATAGTTTTTTTTAATTTGAAAATGTTATTTACCTCTGTTAATGCAGTTGACCAATTTCACCTATCCATGCTAAGCATTTTACCAGCTGCACATGCAATGCATAGGCTGCATAAGTAAGTATGGACATTCAGTTTACTTTTTTATCTTCTTACTGTAGAGTGTAGCAAAAAATCAAGCTGGGTTCAAGAATAACTCCTGGCAATATAAAAATTTACCTTTGCATTGGGGCTATCCCTGTACTGCAGGGGTAAACTGCTCGTTTTGGTCAAGGGGTTAAAATAAAAAAAATACTTACCTGATCCTAGGTCCCACTTGGCTGCTAGACATGTCCCTGCAGCCTCTTCTTGCTTGGATGCAGAGGGACATTCCACAGCCAGAGCAGGACCGAGGATCAGGTGGGTATATTTTCCAGACCAAAACAAGCAGTTAACCCTGGCAGTGCGGGGGTGTTCAGCCCCACTGGCAAGTGTTAATTTTTAGATTGCCCGGCGAAGTTCTTCTTCTTTAAAGCTGGAGTTTATTATGATTATATGTTTTCTTCCCTTGTTCCTCCTTCACCCTCTCATCAATGTGCTTTTTAGGTTGTCAAATAAAACTTTATGTTTTATTACACGCCTTGTTTTAGACCCAGTAACATCATCTTTAGGTCTTGGTGGTTCTTAATGCAATGCAGGGAGATCATGGCTGTTTGGAGGGAATAACAGGGTGCTGTACTTAGCCTCCATGACTGAAAGAACTGCAATTCAATTAATGAAAGAACTGGGCCAAGGCGGGGGGCCTGAGGAGGAAAATAACTAGATGATATTGGACATCCTCCAGCCAGGCAAACTCTATCTGACTTACTGCAGTGTCTAATGCACATTATGAGAAGATCACATTGTGCAGTGAAATCAGAGTAAGCTATTTCAGTACAAGAGAGGAGTATGTACACCAAGACTTAAGATAAGGCTGGCTTTCAGCTTTAAAGTGTATTTCTACTTTTGCAGCCAAATTGGGATAACACCCATTTTATATTTGTTACACTCCCCCATTCATATAGCATAAGCGAAAAAAAAATGCTTCTTGCAGTTTAAATAACTTTTACTTGGCTTTAAGGGTTAACATTTGTTTTTGCTTTTACTTCTTTGAAATGTTGGGAGGAGGTGTGAGTGGTCTTGTCTATTGAGTGGTGGCTTGTCCATTGTATCTTAATGAAGCTTATCAGATCAACAAAAGCTTCAAATATCAGTCCCGAGACTTTCCATTGGGACAGACCACTGTGACAGGGCAAAGAAAAACCTGGAATCAGCCATCTTGTGTGATTTAACAAAACATCTAAAAAGTGGGAATTTTTTAAAAGTTATTTGTCAGTATGCTCTGTGAATAGGAACACATAACAAACATATGTTTCCTAAGTTTGACTGCAAAAGTGGACATACACTTTAAGCCAGTTTGCTTTTAAGACAAAAAAGTATACACTTTTTTAGAGGAGGCAATTTCTAATGGGGGCTCTTGTCTATGTGATGATTTTCTTTACTTTGGAGGGATCTCTCACTTTTTGTGTCTAGAGACAGGAAGTAAAGAAACTATTTTTCAATCTATCCAAAACAAAAAAAAGTGTTGAGCTTTGTTAACAACCTTTAAGGACCCATTTCTACTGTACAGTGCGTTCATCACACAGTCCTGTGCCAATAACACACTGGATCGCATAAACAAAGTTTCCCCGTATTCTGGGGTGGGAAGGGCGTGGTGGTGCCATTCATGTCAATGGCACCGTAGCCTCCATCTATGCTAAATTGTGTGGATGGCGGAATCTCCTACTGGGCTAAGCTTTAGTATCTTGCTAGTCGGATCCCGCTGGCTCTCAAAATAACTGAACAATGCCTGCATCCAATCGGATTGTTCAGGTATTTTGACAGCAGGTGGATCAGACTAGCAAGATACTGAAGCTTTGCTTCCAAAACCGCACTGATCAGTTGAAAAAAAAGCTCAGGGAGCAATTCGGGCAGCAGGCAGTTCAGATCGCACGGACGCACACGGTTGTATGAACGGTCTCCATAGCAAAGTATGGGATCGTTCATGTCGGGCCGAACTGCCCCGGTGTGAACAGGGCCTAACAATATTAATTGTAAATTAGTGAGTCTAGAGGGAGCCGTACTCATGACATATATCTGACTAGATTCCTTTCAACCATAACTCATAATAGAAACTTGTGAGCAAAATTTAAATATTTAAAAACATATTATGTGATTTTTTGGAATATATTTTACAATAACCTGATAAGCTATTAAAACTATATTTAAATACAGTTTCATACTTAAATGTTAAACAATCATGTGTGTGAACTATTATTTTCTTCCAGCTCTCTGGCTCAATGTATTCATTCACTGTGCAATATGTTTCTGTGTGTATATTATCTTTGTGAAAGATGACTTTCCATATGTTATTGGCAAGGTGCGGACTGACAGGTTGCAGCCGTGTGAATTAGCAGTGACATTGCTGATAGCTGATAACCCCTGTAACATTTCCTTATACCTCTGTAGTGAAAACAAGCACAGCCTACATGACAGTGACAATTCTGCTTTCAATTCAGGAGCAGTGCAGCATCGTTGCTACACCATTAGTGAAGCTGCATTAGGTGGACTTTACAGCATCAACAGTTATTTGTGTGACCTTGCAGGGGGACTAAGAGAAAACTGTAGCATCAGATGCACTTATAATGAAGTGCTAAAGTTATACTTTAATAAATCTATTCAATAACTTACAGGCTAAGTTTGTATATGTTTAATCTTATGTTAAGAGCTACCTTTTAGACCTGACATTCCAAGTACAATTATGTCACCAAGATAGTGCCCAAACGCTATAAGAACTGTCAGGTGGTTTAACTCCTTTACTGCTGTCACTGTAAGCATTACACAGCGGCAGTATTGGGATATAAACTGCAGCAGGGAGTTTGTTTACTTCTTACCGAGCTGGCTTCAAACTTTAATATAGACTTACAGAAAACAATTACAATTTGTGCCATGCTAAATACCTAAAAATGAATCAAAATACATATGCATATATCTTATAAATATGTAGTATTGCAGTATTATATATAATATACATATTATAAAGTAAAGTCCTTGTAAAAGCACCACACTTTTGTATCATTTGATATTGCTTAAAGTCTTTGTGCAGAAAGTAACAAACGTTGCACTAATACTGTGTTAAAGTTGTAAAAATTCTTCAATCCACCACTTCACCTGTGAGGCTCCGACAAATAAGCTGCTCACCTTATCCTTAGACCTCTTTTACAAAAGGTCTAAATGCGCCTTGTGACAATGCACAGCCACCTTAAATCCTTTAAATGAAAGCGATCATCTTCTCTTCCATGATGCTCATAAAAGGAAACATACAGAGAACATAGTGCGTACCACTCGATAGATAGTTTAAAAAGATTTATTAGAAACTGCTCACATATTAAAAGAAATGAAAAGCTAAACGAATACTTGAGTAACAGCTGCCTAACATTGCAGAGATAACTCAATTCACCTGATCCACTAGCCCAGCTCTCCCGCACGCTCGACTACCAGTGTGAGATAAGCTCAGCTTAAAACAGTGACAGGTTGCTGCAATCTCAGCAGATTCTCTAGCGATCCTCCAATTCCTCTGTAAGTCCCACCCTACGAGCGTTACGCCATGTATCACATGACTTCATCAGGGGCATGACGGGGGAAGCAGAACTCAGAGTCAAATACCTCGCTGTTACCATAGTAATGATGTACACCATAGGAACCCTGTATAGCACACCCTAGTGGTTAGTCAATATAATCTAAAATCCAAACAAATGTCTAATTGAGAAGCCTAAATCTGATGAATATTAAACCTGCTACATGACGTAACACGCATAGAACAGGATTTACAGAGGAATCATTATTATTTTCTGTTTACCTATACCCATTAGTGCACACTGCAGGTGTCACAGTTATTAGTGCAAGATATAATTTGTAGTTTTTTTAATATAGACTTGATTTGGGCAGCACAGACATCTCCCTTGTGACATCTCTGTGTGCCAGATATAATATTTTTTTCTAACTGAAAACTGTAATATATGTCATTAGACTGTCCAGTTTGTTGCTCCTGCTTTTTTTTTTTATTTATTCGAGTTTTTAAGAGATTTGGCAAAGTTCTGCATTTGTAGTGCATTTATTTATAAACAGAGGAAGTTACAATATTTGCATTCAACTTGTCTTTCAGTAACAAGCGTAATAGGAAACATTACAGCTTAAGTTTGTTGTAGCAAATTGTTATGAAATTAAAAGGACAGTGTGTACTTTCTCAGTAACACAATGATCTTCCAGGCAATTGCCTCTCATTTGGATCACTACCCTATTGTCTATGATCAGTTACCTCTCTACCTCCCATACCCTTCAGCTCCACAAACACTCTGTTTTCTTCCTTGATTAACTTTGGGAGTACAATTTCAGCATACGATTGGGTGTCTCTGCCTTTGCTCCTACCTAATAGGACCCCACTGCGATTAATTTGAGGCTGAACCAGGCCATGCTTTCTTTTTGTGTCGTCTTCAGAGGATGAAGCAAGATATTCTGTTCAAGCAGATCAACTTAACTGGCTGCGATTAGGGTGTGGCAGTCCACCTGTTGCTCCACAGTTGAGGTCACTGTGTATAGATCTTACACAGGCTATCTTTGTGGACTTCCAGCCTGGCATCATTGGCAGACTACCTAGCTTTTAGTGACCTGCTTGGAGGTGACTGAGTGTCCTTGCTTTGGTTTGGTACTTTCTTCTTGTTTCTCTCTCATTCTGTAATATAGCCTTATTGGGTATGGCTGCTGAGCTACCTATTTTATCTTCTCTACAGTGATCATCTGTTGGTTCTAGTTCCTAGCTCTATGTTTCCCTTTCTGTAGGTGATTTGAGTTTTTTTGTTTTGTTTTAAAGAAAAACGGGTTGACATTTTCTGGGCTGGATAAGGTTACAAGGTATTGGAGGAGTCAAACCTGACCAGAGATAAATCACAAAATGAGACTAAATTGTTTTATTATTTAGACACTTTGTCACCAAAGGGACTCAATGATTTGAATTTAAAATGTTTTAGTTCTGATTATTAAGGAAATAAAGAGATATGTAGTGTCTCTCTGGCAGAATTGTATCAGTATATGATGGGTATGATAGATAGAGCTGAAGATGTTTGTATCTGTATTTTAATTGATGGATTGATGTAATATTTTGTACTTTATAATTATCTGTGATGTTACGCTGCAAGGTCATTTGATTAATACGGTATGCTAGTGCTAAAGGGGTGACATTTGATCTTTGGTTACAATGGATGATACATTACATGATGAATAGTAACTTCCCATTACTCCTGAAGAAGTCCATGACAACCAAATGCATTGGGTGGAGAGAAGCTACCTCATCACACACAAAAGAAGTAGCAGCCTGCACTGACTGCACATTGGGAAAGTGTGTAAAACTGGGCACCACTGGGATCTCTTCAGTAGATTACTGCAAGCAAACAAATATTGATGGCGTTCGTATACACTTACATTGGTTGAGTGGGTTTTAACTTTGCATTTGTATTGATTTGAAAACTGGATAGACACACAAGTGCATATAAACGCATCTAATCACACATAGTGTGAATGTAGCCTAAGTGAAAGTTGAAACCCTTTAACATTTCTATGTCACATTTCTTTGTATTTCTTTCTGGTTCTTTAAAGAGCACTCACACAAAAGAAAAGTGTTTTAGTTTATTAATAGAAAGTATTTTCTTTATGTACATTTATCTTTTAAATAGCACACAGTATTTTGCACTTTCCATGTCCCATATGCGTATTTCAAGTCTTGCATACAAAAAAGTGACTTGTGCACATTTACACAGCTTTGATTAAGCTCTGTGTCACTATAGCACATCTGTTTATACCATTTAACAGTTAGTTCATGGATCCAACAGTCTATCATTGATAGGCAAGGTTTCTACAAATGAGGTATCTCATTCTCAGTCTCTTTGAAATGAAACATTATCAAATCCTTTAATATCTGGAATTTCTACTCCTTTGTCCTCCTCCTTGACTTTGCCATCCTTCATATCTTTGTACCTCTCTCCACGATTCTTCACCAGGGCAGGTCCCCAGTTTTCAGTTGGTCTACAACAGCTTGCCATGCGCTGCAACAGCAAAAGAAAAGTAGTTCAGTGTGAATGTCCATTGGCATGCTATAAGAGACCATTCTGCACATAAAAATCTTTTCAGCCAATGCAATAGTTCAATATTTCATGGAAATTTGCTTCTGCATTATGCTATATGTTTATAGCTTTTTTGAGCTTATCTTCTGGATGCCAAAGTTTTTGTACCTTAACCTAGATCAAGCATAGGAAACCCTATACCATACCTGAAAAATGTTCCCTTTGGCTTGAATGACCTTCACAATAGCAATGGCGACAATCCATATAAGGCAGAAGACGACCATTAAAAATCCCAGTGTAATTGCCCATTTTGGGTAAACCCCACCACCATATGCCGCAGCTTCATATGTGACCAAAGACCAGACTAAAATGGCCTGCAGAAACAAACAAAAAAAATAAAAAAAGTGGGATATGTTTGAAGAAGCAAAAAGCTACTATACATTTACAAATGTAACCATTGCAGTGTTCCTTAACTCCAAACCTTAATTTTCCAGACTTTCTTAAATTATTTACAGGTGATTTATTTTATGTTCCTGGATCATTAATTCCACCTTTTCCCCCCATGTTATATTACCAAATATAATCTATTGGGTACGTTAGAACTGGAGTTTAAAAGCATCATTATAAGATTTACATTTCATTCCATCCTCAATTAGCACTGACTGGCTGACTACAAAATGTTCATCTCTAATCACAGAAATACATGGGGAAATATAATTAGTGTGGTCCAATTAGACTCAATACCACACATACGTTTCTATAGGCAAAGTACACTGGCAGTATTTTAAAGAGAGGAGACACCAATAACTGTGTTCTTTTACACTAGTTCTAAATTAAACTCTATGAAGAGTCATACATAGCCAAAAAGACAGGAAGATTAGTTGCTCCTCTGACTCATTCAGCTGTATGTATAATCAGAGCTTTAATTGCTGAACTTAGTAGATCTCTCAGCAAAGAATTTTTGCTTTACAGTAAATGTACAGGAAAATTAATAAAACATAAAACAGTAGAAACAAATTGTTAAAAAACAAATCTTACATTACTCTGGCCTAGGTGAGGGTGATGTCACTGGGGCTTCTCATGGGTTCCTGGGAAAGCAAAGGATCCCAGATTCACTGCCATTTTTACATAGTGGGAGGGTTGCAACATAAGTTGGCCTTACATTGTCTTGCAAGGTGCACTTTAAGATTAGCTGGGCAAAACATATAAAAAGGGGCCTTGGTTTATCCCTGGTGGCTGGAAATCATAGATTATTTTATGCAATAGTTAATATGTGCTTGACTATAATAATAAGTTTTAATTTTTAAAGTTTAAGTTTTGAGTGCTGGGCACAGAAATCAAGATAAATATACCCAAAATGGTAAACCTTTCTACCTTTAAATAAATTTCAACTGTCCAGTAAAGTGCATTGACACTTTACATCAAAATGTGCCCCAATTAGTCGTTTGACTGCCCTATACGATATGTTTGTTACAACACGATATAGGAAAATAGAACCATAGAACCTACTGCTAGTAATACTGGGGATACAAAGTACCAGCAAGTTCTCCACCACAGCCAGAATATCCAATGCTTCTTTCCAAGCATCATCTCTATATCCAGGATCACTCTATTTCCACCTGTTAGATTGAACAGCAATTACATATTTACCCACAACATATGATGTGCAAATGTTATGATTATGATAAAATATAAGAAAAAAAGTAAAACAATATAAGTAAATACAATTTAAATTTGTATATCTTTCGATCTTATTGCTAACTGTATAGTACATATGCAGACAACATGCTTGTTGGATAGCTACAGCTGAGAGTATTAGGTACTTTGAGCCATGTTGAGCATGTGTAGTTTTCAGTCAGTCTAAATACACTGCTAGATAATAAAACACAATCAATGTGCTGCACCAAGCAGGAATCACAGTCCGCATACTCAACAAATAAACTGATTGCCTTGTGTTAATTTAAAAACTATAGACAGAGACTAAAATTAAACACTAACATACGGTGGGCTTGATTCACCACTGCTTGCACAGCAAGCTAAATAAAGAGTGCTATGCACCTTTAGGAACGGAGCATTTAGAGCTATGCAGGGTACTCTATCGAGAAAATAAGGGCTAATCAAGGTAATAGCAGATCCTAGTATGTTGCTATTGCAGTTTGTGCATGGGCACAGTGTGCAGTCTTATTAAATTAGAACATTTTAAAGCACATACCATATATCCAGATCACAGCCACCAGCTCCAAAACAGCAGCAAATAGAAGAGCCCATCCACCGCAGAACGAGTCAATGAGGTTTACCCAATATATTCCTGACTGTAGAAAAAATCAGTTAAATGTTTGGCTGCTATTTATTGTCTCCTATATTATAGAGCTATGGATTTATTTAAACCTTTCATTTTTTGCTTATTTTATGTAGCCCAAGTCTAATCAACAAGTAAAATGTATTTTGTACTAGGTACTATTATAATAATTTAATTGAGGGTGAAGGTAATGTCAACATTTTAAGGGGTCAAGTCACCCAAAACTGATGTGTTGGGTTTTGGTAGATCATGGAGCATTAAACCATACAGTGTTTTTTTTTTTAATTTGATGGGTACTCTAAAGCTAGGAGCCTCATGTTTGAGATTTCAGGTTGGCAGAACTACTGGAGTTTTACTTGAGCGTTCTGCTCCCTGTTTGGTATTTGTTATTTAATTAGTAATAATTTACATGAAAATGCATGAGGAGTGGATTTACCCAAAAGGGAGCATCCAAAACTCCAAAGTAGCTGGCAAATATGGTGTAGAGATCTCACATTTTTGGATGGTCATATCCTTTATTAACTAAAATAGGGCTGCTGCTTAAGTCTACTCGCCCTAAGATCAAAATGCATCCAATCTACCCAAGCCATACCCATGGTTGCCAAGCCACACCCATACAGGTTTCAAAAACTGTTGTTTCATAATGTTTTACTTACAAATATTTAGATATAAATATTTTCATTTTATTTTTAAATATGCGGCTACTTCGGGAAAATAAAAAAAATCAGTGTTGCTGATTTTCTGAACATTAATAGATATATGAGGAATCACTTTTCAAGATATTTACTTTTAAAGGCATGTAGCAGCAGTTAGGAGAAAGTGTACCTGTGTAACACACGGAAGCCCCAATAAAAATAACACTGCGCATATCGCAGTTGTTAAGGGAATCCTCAATTTTTTCATTACTTGTGGAAAAACATCTTGTATTGTTGTCGTAAGAGTTTCTGTTATAAGGCAATAAGCAAATGTGAGTGGATTTAACCATACATGACCATATCGTAATAAAAAAGGCCATTATTAAAGAGGAACTCCAGGATTTTCAAAAGTTATACTTTTCAGTGGTGCTACCTCTGAACTGCAAGCATTAACTGCACCTTTTAGTCTATGGGTGCAAATAAATAAATTATACTTACCTGATGCTCAATCCCTCCTTACTTCTAGGCTGGTTCCTGCAGCCTCTTTTTCCCCCGGGCTCTGGTGGTCTAACCCCCACTGACGTCACCACGCCTATGCAAGGTCCATTCACTTGTATTAGACGTGAGGATGCTGAGTGGCATTCCACAGTTGGAGCAGAGGGGGGAGAGGTAAGCAGACACTGACTCAGAATCGAGGATCCCAGTAACCCTTGCAGTGCAGGGGTAGACCTTTTGAAAATCCTGAAGATCCGCTTTAGCTATGGAATTTTTATAACAATCAACATCTTTTACTACTCCATCCATAATCCCACCACCACAACTCCTCCAATTGTAAGGGAACGTACAAATCATCTTGCTCATCCAACGGTTTTTAACATACAACTCTAGAGAAACATTTTTTTTAAATGTCTGGTTTTTTTTAAATCTTTTTTTCTCCTCGCCGGAAAGTTTTACTTGATGGAATACCAGTGCATGGTATTGCATACCCATAGGTGTAAATGTACCTATATTGTCTTCCTTTCCCTTCCTTGCCCTAAAGCAGACCTTCCATTAAAAAAAAAACACCCCCACACCCCATCCCCCTACAAATTAAACGTCTCTAGGTAAAAAAAAACTGTATAAAAAGGGCTAAATACTTATCTTACACCTCAACTTCTGATGTACTCGCCTAGTGGAGAGTGACATCACTGGGCATGCTCTGGAAATCTTACGAGATTTGGAGTAGTCAGCTTTCTCAGAGTCCTGACCAGTGATGTCACGCTTGCTTTCCAGAAGTGACTGGAAGCTGGAATGTAAGGTATGTAAGTATTTTGCCCTCTGATATTTATAGTTGAAACAAGTTTTATTAAATATAATAAAAGACCAAACAATAACTGGAACTTCCTCTGATATTTATTTGTTTGTCTCTTTAACCTCTATTTTTTTTTTTTTTAATTCTGGTGTTGGGGGACTACCTAGTAAGCAGACCCTGCTATTCCATGCAAGTTTATCTTTAAATGGTCTGATCTTTGTCCTAGTATCATAGTGAGGATTTTAGATTTGAATGAACACAGAAATGCCTTGCTCAGTAAATTATCTAGTACGCACACAATAATTAGATAAGATACAAGCCCTCCTATATATATATGAAGAGTAGAAAAGGGGAAGTGTGATCACATGGTTTATATGTACTGACATATATTGCGTAGAACTGTTTACCTGAAAAAAAACAGCGACTCTATTAACATAAAGGGGCATAGAATGTCTATGTAACTCACCAATTAGCGCAAACTGAGAGTCAAGTCCCAACGCCAGGAGCATGCAGAAGAACAAAATAGACCAGAGGGGTGATACTGGCAGCCTGGCCAATGCATCAGGGTAAGCAATGAATGCCAGTCCAAATCCTACAAGATGATATTGACTATTAAGATATAGTTATGTTATCAGATAAAGTAGATTATTATGGCATATTAGCTGTTTTAAGTAAACCTTCTACAAAATAGAAATTTGGGAGCTGCTGACTGGTGACCGGCGGTGTCAGCTTGATTCTCCATTCACTACCTACTAACTTACTGACCTGAAATAAGCATGCAGGATGAGAGTTTAGACTTCTCAGACTTAGCTGGCTGTTTGTTCCAGGTCAGTGACTTACTAGGTAGTAGAGCCAGGATAAGAATGAGAATATATTTTGATATATTGGTTTACATCACACTGACAACAGTAGTTGTTTGGCCAAGATTAAGTAAAAAACAAAAAAAAGAAAAGCACCTTTCCCTCGTGTAATAAGCTTTGTAAATAAAGCTATCTAATTTAAATAATGGCACAATTATGACCACTTTAGAGGCCCATTACTGATACGTAAAAATGGTTCAGGTTCAGAGGGGTGTGGGAGCAAAGGTGATTAAACAAGAACTCCAGGTAAAATACAAGATTTGGTCCTAAATCTACAAACGGAATTACTGAGAACATCTACAGTATGTGTTTTTTATTTTTTTTGCTTTGACCACTTAGCAGAACAATACCATTCCATAAAATGATAGGCCTGCTGCCGGAGAATAGATGTACTACTAAGAAAAACTGTTCAATATAAATGTGTGTTACCTTCATCTACAACATCTGGAACCTTCTTGCCTGACACTAGGGCCATGTGACCAAGAATGGAAAAGATAGCAAATCCTGCAAGGATGCTGGTCAGGCAGTTTATAATGGAAACCACTATGGAGTCCCAGTAACAGTTGTTCTGGAATTTGTTGTAGGATGAAAGAGCAATCAGTCCTCCCCAAGCTGTGTTAAGAGAATAAAATATCTGGGTAGCAGCATCTCTCCACACCTGGAAAATGAAAGGGAACTTTTAAAACTACTTAAACAGTAACAGTCACTAACAGTATTGTTTTTAACTGGGAATTGTCTTATCACTAAAAATGTATCAGAAGCCAAAAGTTTTTTCTTAGTTTTTATAGAGTGTGGACAGAGGGGTTTAGATTCAGTCAAGTTTTTATTGTCCTCTGTGCTCCCATTGGGTATATTTACCTTCTCTATTCATGCCTGGTGACCATTATCACAGAGAAAGAAAGGGATGGGAAATCCAACATTTTAAAGCTGTACCCAGCACAAAAAGGTTATTAGTTAGGGGAAACCTTCCAATGGAGAAAAAGTTGAAAACCAAAATCCAATGTTATGACGCTCACCAAAAAAAAGGGGGTGGGGGGAGGGGAGAACAGGTGGTCACGGAACTGAAAGGTAAGGTTGTGTCAATGGACAGGATAAATGGCTGGAACTGACGGTTTTGCCTGTGGTGGGAAGTGTTGAGGGAAGTGTTCCACATCTGCGATCACTGAATCCACCTGCACACTCACTGTCATCAACCTAACAGTTGTATTCTTCTTTTCTGTATCCAAAATTAAAATGACATCAGCACAAGTATTCTGCCCCTTTGTTTACATGCAACTGCTGGGCAAGGAATGCTCTGGTCTGCAGCTGACTGGGTGGAAGTGTTATTGGGTCCGAAGCTGAGCTCATCTCTACTAAGATCTCTCTACACTGAAGAAGCAGTATTTCCACGTATAGTTTCTGTCCACACATTTGTTCACCATTATTTATCTTTGTAGCAATCATATAGAGGTTCCCAAAGTTTGTATACATTCAGTTTATCCAAATATATTTGCTGTATGCTATTGCAACCTGTATACATTATTATATAGGCAGACAAAGGTAGGCCTCATAACAATTGTATGGTTTGCTATGGCTGAAGATTTAGCCCTAGTTTATATGTCTTTCCTCTTGGTCCCTTGATTTCTCTGACAATCCAAAAAACATACTGGTAGTTTAATTGGCTTCCACTTTTAACTAGCCCTAGATTGTCTGAATATAGTAACAACATTAGATTGTTAATTCCTCTGGGGGGACAGGAACTGATGTGAATAGTTCTATGTGCTCTGTAAAGCATTATGTTGTATGTTTGATCTATATGAATACTGGAATCAACATACTTACTTCTCCATTACTGAGCTTTGAAATATCAGATTGTTGTCCAATAAAGTATTCAATGCCATCTATTGCTCCCTCCAGTGTGACTCCTCTAATAAGAAGTATAATGAGGACTGCATATGGAAACAGGGCTGTAAAATACACCACCTAAAGTGAGAGTTATTACAGATACATTCATTAATTACTATAGTTTTGCTTAGCATCAGGTCACACAGTACTCCAGGAAATCTATTATAGTCGAATGTCGATCTATCGCAAAGCAAAATCTTTTTGAATGAAGCCTGAGGTGGAAGCTGCCATTGAATCTATTGTACTACTGCATTAAAAAGTGTGAATTTGTTCTGTTTTCATCTGAGTAAGCATACTGCATATAGCACAGTTTTGGGTCTCTTAAGGCAGAACTCTTAGCAAGCCTGTAATTCAAGTGTATGTAAACCCTAACAATTATTTTCTTTTTTGGTACCTTTTCATGTCTATACCATTGAAATAATTCTGTTGTATTTGTGCATTATTCTAAAAACAAATATCTGTTAAATTGTGAGCTGATGACCAAATGTGTATGCATGCACTTCAACAAGTGGATTAGTGAACTACAGCTAAGCTTTGGTGAAAATAAGACAAGCTTAGCAGGTAAGCTGTGCTCTGCATGCATTGTATGGTTCAAAGGTGTAGATGTTTACCAGCTTCTGTTCCATGAATACTATGGCATGCCATTCCAGTGAATTAATAGGGAACATGGTCTATCCCTGTCCCTGTTACAGTTACAGAAAAATATGGCTCCATCTTGCATATATGTATACAAACATTTTAAAGGGAGTTTATCACTAAGAGATTTAATGTCCTCTTAATATTGGGGGTATCACATTTTCTCTGTAACTTAATTTTGGGCTTCTGTATATTAGTGTATTTTGTCTTTGGTGTGGAAAATTTGGCACTGGCAAATGTTCAGCACTGATTTTATACTTAACATGCCTGAAAATGAATACTTACTGATACATAACCCTAGAATAACTCCTAAACATCATCCTAATATAGACCGGGGCCCTAGCTTTAGTCTTAAACCTCAACCAAACCCATAAACTTAACCCTTGGCCACGTTGGTGTTAAGTTACACTTTTCATGAGCAGAATGTTGCCAGGGCCAGTTAAGGTACTTGAATGCATTTTTAAATGTAACTCCTGAGTTTAGTTCACTTTAACTAGCTAACGAACTAACAAACCAACTAGCAAAGAAGAAGTATTCAGATCATATCAATACCAGAATAATGTCAGAATATCTTATCTGCATATTTGTTCCCAGGCTGGTGACTCACAATATTGAAGCCAGAGAATCTGTATGATAACCAGGCAAGCAGCAGAAGCAAAGCTGAAGCAAAGGTCAGCAATGGCAGCTCCCATGTTTCTTTAATGACAAAATGTATGCAATCACAACTTTATTATGATGGCAAGAAGCGATATGATAAAGGCTTTGTTAGCTATTTACAACTCTAGAAATTATCTATACAGAATCTATACATTCTGTATAGAAAATCCTCTATGCTAAAATGAACTGATCTGAATTTGTCAATGAAACCTTCACTATTAGAGACAAAGATGGATGTTTTAGTGTTTGAAAAAAAAAAAAGTGTATGAAAAAACATTTTGAAGACATAGTACAGAGTGCAGCAGTACTATCCAGAGCTGGATAACCCACAAGGCAATCTAGGCAGGAACCTAGGGCTCAGTGGATGCCCAAGAGGCCCAGCTATAACCTCCATGCTCCTGAAGTAAACAATGGGAATAGTTGTGCTCTTGCCTGTCACTTCACAAGGGAGGATACACTTATAGACATGATGCCTGATGAGGTGGTCCATGTAATTACAGACAATGCATATCTGAATAGGACCCTACTATGCCTTAATCCATCTCTGATACTACTATCTCACACATAAATGGACTGTATGGTTTTGGTAGGTAGCTACTAGAGATGCAAACAAATTCACAACCTCTAGCAGTAAATAAATATCAGATAGACATTATTACATAGTAAACACTATCCAGATGCGCAAGTTTATTTTGATGTCATATTCTTGTCTGATCTGATCAGAAGAACTTTATGTACCAGCTCTCTGAGACCGTCTGTGTCCCTTGGGTATTGCAGAAAAAAATATTTTGCCTTCTTATGGTATGCATGAAGATGCTGCCTGTTCCTTCTCTAATGTTTCCCAGATGTGCTATTCGGTTTGTGTTACACAGCAGTAATGTTTATATAGCAAAACATTTAATGTAAGGCTCCATTTACATATAGTGCTTGCATTTCCTGCACGGTTTTCAGCGCAGAAGATCGGACGGAGGACAAAAACGCTAATATTTTTAAATACACATTCTATTTCCAGACGTGCAGTGTGCATAGACCACTGTCATTACTCCCCTTTCATTTCCCACAGCACTGCTTAGAAACACCCATCAATAGAGGAGTACCAAAGAATCATGGGACATATAGTTTAAGGAAATTGTGTGCCCAGCAAATTGGAGATTCTTCCAGGTGCCCAGTACTTGCAAACAGATTGGGAATGAAAGAGTGATATCTTAGGTACTTTTAAAATCTATATACCTCATTAGAAGCAAATAATTAAAACATTAAACGTTTGGTTGTGTGGCAGTTTCCAGGTATAACATAATGGGAGGAGGAGGTTAGTTAATACTGGAGCTGAGCTTTAAAAAAAATCAGCTACAGACTGTAAAGCCCATGTGCTCTCTGTAGGGAAAGCAGTGGACTCTCTGCAGAGGTTGAACACTCCCCCTGCTGAATCAGAGCTAGAGCTCTCCAATTAGCAGGGAGAATGAGCTTTACTAACGGCAGAGATATTGGTCTGACTCAGCAGGGGGGTTGTATCTTCACAGAGGCCACTGCTTCCACACAGAGAGCAAAGGTCTTTCACATGCTGGAAGGGGAAAAGCTTTTCTAATTAGGTTGTGGCTGCTTTCTATAGAAAATTAACTGTAAATCTTTGAGCACCTTTTGTTTTTATGCACCTTAATGTATTTAGCTGATTTAAACTGGTTTCCTTTTGGCTTCAAAGCCAATTTGTAAAATATTCTACCAAAGTATGATGGAGGTTGTATTGAAGAGACTCGATCAAGCTTGTGTAATACGTTTTCCAGTGAAGCCCATACAAATCTGTTTTAGGCTAGTGTTCAATTGCACAGGCAGAATCATGGCGGGAAACCGTGAAATCCGCTTGGCGCAGCTGGGGTCCGTTGATCGGCTGTGGTGGGTGACTCTGTGACCGCCCAGCAAACCGCACGATTGCCACACGGTCACAGATCGCCCAGGTGTGAACCTAGCCTTAAACATTTTGGATAGAATGGGACGGGTTTAGAGCTTCTATTGGGTTTATATTGTGCCAGTATTGCTGTCTGTGTTCTGGTGACTGATGGAGTTGATGTAAATTTTTTCAAATGGGAACAAAGACAACTACAAAGACTGTCAGTATTATGAGGTAGAGCTAGATCCTCTATGATGTTGGTGATTCTGTGACCCCTCATTTTTGGTCCTGGTGTCACAGTGAAAGGAAGGTGGGGGTAACAATCTATAAACAAGTCAGAATTTCTATCCTTTCCTCTCCCTATTCAAAATAAAACAAGTTTTCCTGGAGCTGATCAGTTGTAAAATTGTAGCCTTTACTTCCAATTCTGTATCTACAGTAGACAGTTCACAATATTCAGGCTCTGTGCTGGATTTTTATACTTTTATATATACTCGACTGTCTTGATATTCCAATTTAATGCCAACATTTTGCCTACAGTTGTACATATAATGCCACTGCAATTAACAACATTACATTTTGGATGCTGGTGTTGCTAATGTTTTCCTGTGCTTAGTTCAGTAATATCAGTACATGAGCCAGCAACACAGTAGACATACCTTTCCAGAAGATTTGATACCTTTAACCAATGCAGCAGCAGTTATAATCCATGCAAGTAGCAGACAGAGCGCTAAATGCCAAACCACTTGGCCTGTTTCATCCATACCGCTTGATCGCTTCAGAGCTACTTTACTGAAAATACAAATACATTTAATAAAACATCCAATTTTGGGCTTTAGTTTTATTCAGAGAGAAGTAAATCATGGCTTAAACAGTGCCATATGCTAGTTATCTGCATTATATCAATCACATCTCTGTAGTTGTTGATCACAGAGGTAGGATTTGTGAACAAGGATATCATCATTCATTTTCAGCCATGGCGAGGATGGGGAGCGTGCTGCCCCAGCATCCTGTTTATTTTGTACTTTTGGTATGTTCCCCACTCCTGTTTGGGGCTAGTTTGCACAGTCTTTAGCTAGACACATAGGGGTTGATTTGCTAACCTCACAAACACGCCATGCATAAACACGCCGATTGCG